AGAACATTTTCTTCCTTCTTGCACTCATCATTATTAGCTCCTTATTTCCCTCAACCTCCCTGGTGATAGCCGCCTACATTCATCCATTGCGTCAAGCACATTTGTACATGTGTTGCCATCATTTTCAAAGCATTCTCCTACTTGAGCCCTTGATTTCAACTCCTCATTTTCCCCTACCCCCCACCCTGCCTCTCTCATAAACCCCCGATAAATTCTCAATTATTATTTTTATATCTTACATCATCCACTGTCTCCCTTCACCCACTATTCTGTTGTTCAGCCCCCTGGGAGGGGGTTATATGTTGATCCTCATAATTGATTCCCCCTTTCTCCCCTCACTTTACCCTTCCCCTCCTGGTATCTCTATTCTCATTATTGGTTCTGAGGGGTTTATCTGTCCCGGATTCCCTGTGTTGCGGGCTCTTATCTGTACCAGTGCATATGTTCTCCCAGAATCTATTCTAAGAAAATAACTAGATGCCAACAAATTTGTTGATTACAGTTATATATATATATTTATATGTATATATATACATAAATATATATAACAAAAGACTTTGTTTTATGAAAATTATGGAAACATTACTGGCTCCAGAGAAGATCTGATACCTACTCAAACACTCTCTCTTCCATATAAGCTGGAACAAGTTTAGATTCTATAGTTTTCTTCTGTTTATAGTTAAGTCAGGTAAACAGGGACCAGATTTACCCTCCCACCTGAGACACCAATGAAATTGGACAAAACATATGAAACATTTTCCACACAGGGTGTTTTTGTTGTTGTCGTTGCTGTTGTTTGGTGCAGTTGAGTTGTGCTGACTCAGCGTGGCCCTGTGTACAACAGAATGAAGCACTGTCTGGCGCTGTGCCCTCCTCACGGTTGTTCTCACGTTTCAGTCCATCGATGGAACCACTATGTCTTCCTCTTTTTTGCTGACCCTCTATTTTACCAACCATGATGTCCTTCTTCAGGGATTGGTCTCTCCTGACATGTCCATGGAATGAAGTCTTGTCATCCTTGCCTCTAAGGAACACTCTGGCTGTACTTCTTCCAAGACAGATTTGTTGGTCCTTTTGACAGTCCGTAGTACTTTCAATATTGTTCAACAACACTATAAGTCAAATGATTTGATTCTACTTCAGTCTTCCTTATTCAATGTCCAACTCTCACATGATATGAGGCAATTGAAAATATCAATGGCTGGGTCAGGCACACCTTAATCTTCAAAGTAATCTCCTTGCTGTTCACATTAGACACAGTCATTAGGTAGTGAACGACAGTGAGCCCTGAGATTGAAAACAAATGAGATGTGCCCTACAGTTGCCCTAATTACTTCCAAACTGTACAGTGTGTATGTGTTTATCCCTTGCACAAATAAAATGTGAGGACACTAGTTAATCTCATTTAGAGTCGTTGTAAAGTTTGTTTAGCTTCTGAAAATATTGATTTGTTGGAGTTTATGAGCACTTTATTTTTGTCATTGGCAAGCTAGTGTTATGTTAATCATATTTGTGTATCAATATGTCAAATTATCAAAAGAAGAACATTTATTTAATAATTAAGAAGGTAACACTAATTCATCACTCATATCACCAAAACTAAGAGACAGCAAGGAGGAGGGATGTTGTTAGATGCCTTGGCACACTTACTGACTCAAACACTGGATTGGGGATTTTCTCATTTTTAACTCTTAAACTTCTTATGTGTTGGGTTACTTGTAATAGTGAAATCATATTGTGTATTTTACTAATTTTTTGTACCAAAGTTTATGTTGCTGGCACAAAATTTCAGAGAACTTTTTATTTTCTTTTATATAGAAGTAGTCATTCATCAGAAATTTTAAAAATAGTACGAGCCGGCAGGGTGCGATGTAGCAATGATGAGAAATACAACTTTCCTCTAGTTCCTAAATGCTTCCCCCCCCCTCCCCACTATCATGATCTGAACTCTACCTTGCCAGAGGATCTACACTGGTACAGATAGAAATTGGAAACACAGGGAATCCAGGGCGGATGATCCCTTCAGGACCAGTGTTGTGAGTGGCGATACTGGGAGGGTAGAGGGAGGGTGAGTTGGAAAGAGGGAACCAATTACAAGGATCTACATGTGACCTCCTTCCTGGGGGATGGACAACAGAAAAGTGGGTGAGGGGAGATGTCGGACAGGGCAAGATATGACAAAATAACAATTTATAAATTATCAGGGGTTCATGAGGGAGCGGGGAGTGGGTGGGAGAGGGGGCAAAAATGAGGCCCTGATGACAGGGGCTTAAGTGGAGAGCAAATGTTTTGAGACTGATGAAGGCAATGAGTGTACAAATGTGCTTTACACAAATGATGTATGTATGGATTGTGATAAGTGTTGTATGAACCCCTAATAAAGCGATTAAAAAACAAAACAAAACAAAAATCTAAAAAAATATTTTTTAATAGCTTGCAGGAAACCAAAACAGCCTGAATATAAACCAAAAAAAGTAAGTTACCTGTATTGTATCTTTGAAGTCTATGAATGAATTACTAAATAAAAAGCATGTAATAGTTAAAAAAAAGTAATAGTTTACTGTGCTGGGTAGGGACGATAAAGATATTCCCTAACTTAATTGAACTGCTGGTTTAATGGGTATATATACATCTCCAAATGTATCAGATTAGACAGTCTGTGATATGCCACTTACACTTCAATAAAGCTATAAAACAAAATGTCTACCAATAGAACTCTCCTCTTGGGGCTTCTGGCTTTCATGACTGTCAAACTAGAAAGCCCACTTTGGGGGACACCATTTTAATTTTGTGTTACTAAACGGACCAATTCAAACAGCCAAAATTGGTCAAATATTTTCAGTGCCTTTGACTGCCCTTAGAGGCGGGTGTGTAATTTGAGTAGTGGTCATTTTGATTGGTCTTCCTTGTAGGAATATATGGATATTATCCTGTCACTGGCAGCACTGTATTTCAGAATAGTGCTTGAAAGGCGCTTTCTGATGATAAATTGGACACCATCCTTCTTCAATGTGTCTCTCTCAGAATAATAGGTCACATGTTTGTCCAGTTCAATGTGGCCAACACCAGTCCATTTCAGCTCACTAATGCCTAGGATATGGGGCTTCACGTGTTTTATTTCATTTTAACAGCTTCCTGTTTCCCTCGATTCATATTTTATCCATGCCATATTCTCATTATTAATGGATGTTTGGAACTGTTCCACATCAACAAATGAAAGTCTTGAAAGCTCTACTCTAACCGTATTACTACGGTCAACTTTGCTTTCAGCAGGCAACCTCCCCACAGTCATAATTTGAATCTCTTCTAGCCTGCAGGGCATGTCTTCCAGCATTTTATCAATATTCTGCTGCCATCCATAAGATTTTCACTGTCCAAATGTTTTTAGAGGTAGATCACCGGGGGCTTCTTCCCAGTCTGTCTAAGTCTGGATGCTCTGCTGAAATCTGCCCACCGTGCAGGGCCCTTCTGCTATTTGAAATTCTGGCTTCCAGCATCAAGGCAAAAACACAAGCTGAAAACAAGGCTCCAGGAATGGATGGAGCCAACTGAGGGGCTTTAACAAACATATTACAATGCTGGAAACACTTGTTCATCTATGTTTAAAAATTTGGAATGGGTGAAGGCAGATGTCGGACACTGTAAGATATGACAAAATAATGATTTATAAATTGTCAAGGGTTCATGAGGGAGGGGAGGAGAGGGGGGAAAATGAGGAGCTGATGCCAGGGGCTTAAGTGAAGAGCAAATATTTTGAGAATGATGAGGGCAACGAGTGTGCAAATGTGCTTTACACAATGGATGTATATATGGATTGTGACAAGAGTTGTATGAGCCCCCAATAAAATGATTTAAAAGAAAAATAAATTGGAAGATGGCTACCAACTAGGAGGGATCTATATTTCTGCTCATTCTAAAGGAAGGTGATCCAACAGAATACAGAAATTATCACACCATCTCATTAACATCATATGCAAGTAAAATTTTGCTAGAGATAATTTTTTAAGTACATTAACACAAATGCAAGCTGGACTTAGAAGGAGACTTGGAACAAGAGATATAATTGCTGGTGGTATGTCTGGTCTTTAAGACTTTTGAGGAGCTCTAAGTATGGGCCCAGTTTCACTTTCTAATCTTGTACATGGTAGTCGTGTTCTGTTTTTAAATCACATCGGACTACTCACTGTCCCTAGTACTTGGTCAATTTCCTTGCTTCTGTCTTAGTTTCTAAGGAACCCCATTGGCTCCTGTAAGTAGTGACAGTCTCAAAATCCCTACATTGTGTTGCTCTGGGTCAGAATTTGAATTTTGGGTTTTATCTTAGCTTCTATTATTCTCTTCAACTAATAGATCCCCATCTTCACGTGGAAAAACACATCAGGCCTTTACCAACTGTAATCCAACATTGTAGCTTTTCACAATGTGCTCAAATTCATTAATGACACTTAACATGTACACTTTGTAGTATATATGTAGCATATGCAAATTCCATATATCCTGGTTAGAACCAGCTTCAGAATAATAGGAACTCATATTTGTATCCATTATCGTGCCTAATACAGTACCCTATATAGACCCAGATGTTAAAATATGTCTTTTAACTTAGTCAATTATTTACTTATATAGTGACAACTATCTATTCAGTTGAAATGAGAAAAAGTGTACTTTACTATCTGACTAACTAAGGAGCCAAAGTGATGGTGTGGGTTCAGCATTGTCCGCGAACGGTCGTACAGGCGGCTCAAGCCCCCCATGCGCTCTGTGGAGAAAGATGAGTCTCTCTGCTCCTGTAAAGATTTGTCGATTCAGAAACCCTCTATGGGGTCTGGATTGACTGGAGGTCCGTGGTGGTGAGTAATCGACCTGGTTTTGAATTTAATTTCCCTCTGTGGAAATCAAAGCATTCGTTATTACATGCATGAGAATTCAGTTCAGTGCCCTTAGCAGAGGGAAAGCAAACTGAAATGGAAAGCGAGTTAGTTAGCAAGCAAAAATCTTACCTCAGAAATGATTCATTCAGACTTCTAGGCTCTTTAAGTCTTCCAAAAACGGAGCCATTATTCTTTTCCTTAACTAAAAAACATTAAAATTTTTTAAATTACTTGGTCATTAAATACATACTTTGGCTGAGTTCATGAAGAAGTCCTATCCCAGGTACTGACTTGATGGGTCTCCATAAATCCCCACAAACACGGACATGTCTAAAGTGATAAGTTAGACTTTGAGGGGAACCATCGAAAGTGAGGGCCACTGAAGCTTAAGCTGACAATATGTTCACATGGTCAACGGTTTTCATGAAAATCACTAAGAAAATGCATTTTAATCACAATCATTTAAGACCACGGACTCTTCTTTTCTTTGTCTTACTTTCCCTTTGCAAAGGAGCTGTGCATGCTGTATTTGGGTCTCTTCTGTCCAGGTTGCCCTAGAGTGCAGCCAGATCTTTATTTTGTATTGCTTTATTAGGGGTTCATGCAACTCTTATCACAATCCATACACACTTCAATTGTGTAAAGCACATTTGTACATTCATTGCCCTCATCATTCTCAAAACATTTCTTCTCCTCTTAAGCCCCTGGCATCAGGTCTCATTTTCTCCCCTCCCTCCCCGCTCCCCCTTCCCTCATGAACCCTTGATAATTTATAAATTATTATCTTGTCATATCTTGCCCTGTCCGGTGTCTCCCTCCACCTACTTTTCTGTTGTCCGTTCCCCAGGGAGGAGGTCACATGTAGATCCTGTAATCGGTTCCCCCTTTCCAACCCACCCTCCCTCTACCCTCCCAATATCGCCTCACACCACTGGTCCTGAAGGGATCATCTGCCCTGCATTCCCTGTGTTTCCAGGTCCCAGTGTACGTCTTCTGGTCTAGCCATATTTGTAAGGTAGAATTGGGATCATGATAGTGGGGGAGGAGGTAGCATTTAGGAACTAGAGGAAAGTTGTATGTTTCATCGTTGCTACATCGCACCCTGACTGGTTCATCTCCTCCCAAAACCCTTCTGTAAGGGGATCTCCAGTGGCCTACAAATGGGCTTTAGGTCTCCATTCTGCACTCCCACTCATTCACAATGACATGATTTTTTGTTCTGATGATGCCTGATACCTGATCCCTTTGACACCTCGTGATCGCACAGGCGGGTGTGCTTCTTCCATGTGGGCTTTGTTGCTTCTCAGCTAGATGCAGCCAGCATCTTGTGTTTAGGTATTTCTAGGTTCTTCACAGTACTATTCAGTGATTTTGTGTTCAAGATGTTGTGTGGCCACCATAATTATCCATTTCCAAAAATTTCCATTACCTTTGACAGAAGATGCATGTCCCCAAAGCAAAGTTGTCCCTTTTCCATCCCTCCTGCCAGTCCCTGGTAACCACTAATAAGCTTTGGTTTCTATGTCCTTGCAGATTCCAGATATTTCATATAAGTGAAATCACCCAGTCTGTGTCTCCTTGTGATGGACTTATGTCACTCGGCATGGCATTGTCACTTCTCCTCCATGCTGTAGCATGTATCTGGGCTTCATGTCCTGCTATGGCTGAATAGCATGTCATGGCCTGTAAGTACTACACTTTGTATATCCATTCATCTGTTGATGGCTATTTAAGGTCTTTCCATCTTTTGCTACTATGAATATTGCTGCAATAAACATTGGTGATCATGTTAATTCTTTTTGTTTTTAAAGCACTACAAATTGTAGGCACTTTGAGTTCAGACCCCAACCCTATCCAGGACATAGCTGACTGGTTTAGGGACTTCTGACTCACTCTGGGCCCATCACTGTCTTCCCTTGAATTTCTGACATTTGGAGGTAGAGGCAAGCTACAAGTCTTTGGAACTGAAAATATAGTAATATCAAGACCCAAGGGGAAGGTTTCTGGCCTTCCAGGATTTGGCATGACAGAGAAGTTCCTTCTTTTACTTCCACCCAAAGACAAAATCCTTACAATAAATTCTGAGAATCTTTTTTTTTCCCTACTTGCAAACTAAGAATGCTTACATAAGTGCTTAAGCTCACAATCATCAGACTCTTCTAATAGCAGGCATGTCACAGATGTTGACTATGTATATTCATATATGTTGGTACTAAGTAAATATACATAGTCAACATCTGTGACATGCCTACTATTAGAAGAGTCTATGATAACTGGGGTCTTTTGCTTCTTATGTAATCGAATCAATCGCAGTGAGTCTGGAATTATGGTATAAATAATACCTTCGATTATTACTGGAATAAAATGGAGCATATTAGCACTTTCTTGGTAGAGATCACTGAGCCTTAACTATTAGGAAGCTGGTATTACCAAGCAGTCAACCTATACCTAGGTTTAACTTGTCTCTTACACCTGATCCCAACTGAGCTCACGACTCTTGAGTTTTCCCTTTCTATGACAACATTGAACAATTGTAACAAAACAGTTTTATTACCTTGCCTCGTATTCGCTCTAGATTTTAATTTGTAACAATGGCGTGGAGAATCTTAGGCTCCTCTTTGCTCTCGGCTCAGAATTGTAGTACAGGTAGACCTCTTTTCACTTGCTGGTATGTCTACTCTTCAGGATGTTGGGAGTATGCACAATAATAACAAGAACGTGGAGTTATGCAGCACCATAGTCTCCCCTGTGCACAGTCTACTCTCTTCTTCAGTGGCTGAATTGGAACATCCTTCAGCCATTTGTCACAATGCAGATCTGATGGCGTGTTGCGCTGCACTAGCCAGTTGAGAACATTCCTAGGAGGGGCCCCATGAACACCCGCGGCTACTTTCTTTACTGCAAGAGGTTCTGGTATGTCATGTGTGACAAGTACCCTCTAAACCTGAGGCTCTAAGCCATGCTCTTCGGAACATACCTTATTGTTCTAGTTGGACTCACAACAGCACTGGACAGAGTCTAGGATATATGAGAAGTCCAAAATGATTGTTACAAAACCACAGAAACCTTTAGTCAACATAAACACCAAAATGTGAAGTTGCTGCTCAAGATCCCATCCAGCTAGATCTGCATATTTCCGAAGGCAGGGCTTCCCCTCTGTGACCCTCTCTGAAGAATTCTGCACTCTTCCACTCACATCGTGCCAACAAGACACGTTCGCCAGGCTTGCTTACAGGGCACAAATAGCACTCCTTCTAAGTGTTCTCTGAGTTCGGGGAGTGGGAAGAAGTTTGAAGGGGCACTATCAGGGCTGTAGGGTGCGTGGGGTAATGTTTCCCACTGAAATCCTCTTAGGACGATCCTTACCACCTTCAAAGATCAAGTAAGTGCACTGTGAGGGGAAAATCCATGGTGCAATTGTCCTGGCCTTTTCCTCACGAATCCAACTGTCAGTTTTCTTACATTTTTTTCATAATAATCTTCTATGATTGGCCTGTGTACTTCAAGAAAATCTACAAAGATACCACTTCAGATTAAAAAAAAAACCAGTTGCCACAACCATCATGAATTTAACTGGCCCCGTGGAGGAGTTTGGAAGCTACTGTTTTGATTGGCCTTGTGTTTTTTTAAACGGAACTCTAATGAGACTAAGACAAATACAAAACGTGTCTGCAGCCATCCATGAATCACAAAGACATGCTTAAATAAGTTTTGTTTGGAATAAACCTGTGCACATATGAATCGGAACCCGAGTAGCAATACTTTTTGACTTACACTGTAGACAAAATGGTTTCAAAACATTTGTGGAAAATTCCATTATCATCTAGTTCCATTTTTCTACGAATTTTTTGAAGTCCCTTGTAGATCCAGCTATGCCTAGCTATAGACAATTATCTATTTAAAAGGGGCTTCCAAAAGTTCATAGAAAAATGGAATTAGAGAAGAAAAAAGAAATGAAAAATGGAATTTGATCCTATTCCTGTAAAGAGTTACTGTCTCAAACTCACAGGGGCAGTTCTACGCTATCCTATAGGGGCACTGTGAGTCGGCATCAGAGCAACGGCAGTGAGTTTGGTCTGGTTTTTTGTTTGTGTCTACCTACAGATATGCATCTTATAGTTTAGACATATACATATAAAAACATTCATTTTGTTTATATTTCATTAAATTAACCATCGTTCAGTCTCATTTGAGGATTGGTCTAGTTCACGTCATGCTAATATTTCAAAATGTACTACTAAGGTTTTTGAGGTCTCTTGCAATTCTAGAATTATAGTAACCGATAGGGTAGTCACTGGCCATTTATGGAGCCCACCAGCAGGCCGAAGGCTCGGTGGTTTGGACCCCCAAGAGCTCTGCAGTGCAAAGGCGAGGGCCTCTGCTTCCGTAAAGCCTGAGAGCCTCGGGAACCCTCTGGGACCGTTCTGCTTGGGCTCTTGGGTCACTCTAGTCAGAGGGACTTGCGAGGAGTGGGTTTTTGAGTGACCTACAGCTATTTAGGTTCAAAGGAATTAAAATAAAATTCACTTTCACTGTAGAACTAGCCACATTTCAACTTCTCGTTAGCAACAGGGAGCGGATGCCTACCATGTGAGTAGCAATATAAAACCCAAGGGTCTAACAACTCAATCCATTCAAGAGCTTCACTACCAATACAGTTCACTACTGTCCTCCTGTTCCTGTCAGAACTGTCCACCCAGAGCTCCATCACTATCCTTCATCTAGACATAAACATCACAATTCAAGATCTTAACTGTGGCCCATATGAAGAGGCCTCCAAAAGTGCATGGATACATGGAACTAAAAGACAATGGAATTTTCCACCAACTTTTGAATATCCCCTCAGATAAGGGCTAGGGCTAAGCCTGAAACAACAGCAAAAGCCCGCTGCCTTCCGCAGTTCTGCACGGCAGCAGCCCCAGGTTTCCCCGCAGGTATACTGCGGAGAAAAGTCTCTCCTTCTCAACTGGGCAAGAAAAGAGGTTGGCCTAGTGAATCCTATTCAACCTTTAAGTATTTTGACCATAGATGATTCGTGTTGAGCTCTCTTTGTTCAGGTGGATCTAGTTGATTGGAGTGAGCACGCTTTCACCACATGACATAAATATTCCCCAGGCTGTCACCCAAGAGGCTTGAAGTCAGCCCTAACAATTATGTTTATCTAAATGTGCTCAGTAGTTATCGCTTGCTAATTTTCTAGGCATGACATCACCGCCACTAACATAAAGGGTTTTAGTAATTGCCTCTTCAAAGAGATGGGCAGACACGTTACAGTCTGTCTGTGACACTTCTGGGCCACATAGCACAGAGTGGCCATTAGCACAACCCCAGGACCCTGGATCTGCAGTAGCAGCTAACTATTGGCAGAGGGCGTGGGGGAGGGGGGGGAGGTGGGTAGACCAGCAGCTTGGGGTAGAACTGGCAGCATCAGGTGCATCAGTGTTGACATGTAGGAAGGGAGGGTTTTTTTTAATTCTATCATGTATGTTGTGTCTCTTTGGTTCTGTTTTTCCAAAATCCTCAAGGAAAATAAAAAATGACACCTTTAGGGATGGAAGCTAAAGAATGGGTTAGGGATGATAATTTTATGGATGGCCATGCGGATGTGCACGTGAACACCAACTAAGTTTGGGGGTTGGCGTTTTTATTTATTTATTTGCTTAAATCACTGCTTTTACACCATTTGCCAAGTTTCTTAGGCATTCATATTTTATAAAATGTCTATGTGTAATTGGCTTCTTTGATGTGTGTTTTCACCTCACATATGCTAGAAAGAAAAAAACACAGATAATTATGCTTGTGGACAAGAATAAATATGCATTTAGGGCAACCAACACCCGTTAAATATCCTAATTAGTACAGCAAGGGACCCGGAGAGCCTCTAGGGATTTAATAAGTGTGCTAATTACAAGGTCTTCTACAGTTGCCACGCCCTAGAGTCCTTGAGGAAATGTGTCTCCGAGAGCTACAAAACACTGGACGCTTTTCCCACACCGGGAAACGTATTCCATCAAGAGGCTCTGGGTCTGACTTGGTATGAAGCGTGGTGGAGAGTGGAGGAGTTGGCCAGTGTCGAAGTCCCCACCCGTGAGCCACTTAGACCTCCCGCCTCCCTGTTCTTTCATGCTAAGGGGATAATCACTTTGTCAGACTGGTTTTCAGCTGGGTGGACAGCCCCTCCCCCGTGACTTCATTTACGACAACCCTGTGTAGCTCATCATAGAGATGAGAGAGAGCCTTGGGTGGTGTAATGGTTACACATTGGGCTGCTAACCACAAGGTCAGCAGCTCAAAACCACCCACCTCTCCTCTGGAGAAAGATGAGGCTTTCCACTCCTATTGGGGGAAAAAAAGAGAGAGATGAGAAAGCTGGGGCTGACAATGGGTAAGCAACTTGTGGAAGGTTACACACCAGCCAGTGAGCGCTTAGCGGAGGCCAGAGTCGGCTTGTCACCCGCAGCCAACTACAGAGACAGGTACCCTCCAGGGCTGCTCACAAGGGGGTTGAGGTGTTTCCAAAAGTTTGTGGACAAATTCCGTTATCTTTCAATTCCATGTGCAACATGGTTGTTAGGGATAAGTAGGTTCTCAACATGAATCTTGAGATGATTAGCAAGGTAGGACTATGGGAGAAGGCCCAAAACTCAGAGATGAATATTAGCCTGCTCTGAAGCCAGTTTCACCATTTTTCCAGTTACTCATTTGCTTTTCTTCTCCAGGTTTTTCTTTCTGATTGTTTGTTTGTTTGTTTGTTTGTTTTGTTCCAGGTTTTTCTTTGAAATATGTGCTTTGTAGGAAGATGATTAAACCAGTTAATTTTTTTTTAATTCATTAACTCCCTGTGGGTTTCTGAGATTGTAACTCTTTATAGGAGTAGAAAGCCCTGATAAGAACCAATCCAATGGGATCTAGATTCCAACTAGATCTCTGTTTTGAAGCCAGTATTTCATGTACTCACTTGCTTTCCTTCTTTTCTTTCCATTATGCTTATTGATGACAGCAGTGAAATGAAATTACTTGGTAGGGCTCTTCTATGCATAGCTTTGAGAAGGCCCACTAAATGATTGGGTGTGGTCAAGCAAATAAGGTGTAGAGAACACTAGGTTAGAGATGGGTCAGTATGCCGTTCTGCTAGGTATGAAAATGAGTCATCTCAGATGCAAGCACTGAAGAATCCCAAGACACCAAGAAAGAAGAGCCACTAGCAGAGTGTGTGCAAGATCTGCCTGGTATGGCAGGGGCAGCAGAGGGACCAGAGCAGCCCTGAGGCCATCAGAGGAAATAGTGACTTCCCAGCCCAGTGAAAGAGTAACACTGAGTACCTTCGGGCAGGAGCCTGGCATGAATAGCAGGGTATCCTTTGGCATTTCCGGTGCTAAAGGAATTTTGTAACACTTGGCCAAGCAGGGAGAAGCCAGGGGACTTGTGGCTGAGAGGCCGAGGACCAGAGAGAGATGTGCCGGTGAGGCTAGCTGAGAAGAGGCCCTGCTGTGGATGCAATAACTGTGTTCTTAACATTATCTGATCCTGACTTGGGCTAACCTGTTCACTTTCCTGATAAAGCCCCATACTCATGAGGATTGTCTGGCCATTGCAATGGATTATTAAACCCAACAGAGAAGAGTCTCATGACAGAGCTGGTCAGTGTGAGAATGAGGTAGAGAATAATCGAAGGTAGAGGAATGTTTGACCTTTGCCTCATAGGGATCATCCTTGAGTAGCGGTGGAGCTGGAGTCCCATTCCCCCTTGTGTAGCCAGAAAAGGTCAGACTTGGGCCCCACATCGTTTCCTTAATGGCCAACTCTGTGCGGGCCACTGGATTGCTGACAACGGATTGCCTAAGTCATCCACAATGTAGAGCACATTGACACTTTCTGTTTGTTCATTTCTTCCAGCGTTATAAAAAGCTTTGGGGTGTCATTTGAAGGAAATACAATACTAACCTATTTTGTGTTTAGCAATGGCACGCTGAAAGGGTAACAGGAATTTCCTGACACTGTTTGATTTTCCACATTCTTTTTTCAAAGTTGAAGAATAGGTGATCCGGATGTGTTGGTTGGTTTCTCTGTCTGGGCCACTCAAAAATTCTGGGTAGTCATCAGTCTGGGGAAAAACAACACAATTTTAACCGAGCTGATTGAGGACAAACACAACTGCTTACCTAATGCTGGAAACATCAGTCCTCCACAGCTTAGGATGAATAGAAAGTACACTGTTTTCTCAACTGGGGCAACTCCCCCCTTCTTACAGTTGCGTGACTCAATCCCTCTTGTTTGCTTTTAAGTTGAGAAATGTGCTCAGCAAAAGAACTAGTAAACTATTGCCACTGTTGGATTGCTAAATAAATAGTAACTGTGTTTTTGTTGGTTAAAATCTAGTCCTCCTCAATTCTGTTGTGAAAATAGATTTTTCAAAAGGTCTCAAAAATGCAATGAATGGGGTTTAAACTAGGATTTTTCTATGTAGGAGACCATGATTATTTGTAAAAAATATTCTATAGAGATTTTTGTAAATACAAACAGCAAAGACTGAACTACTGAAAGATTTTGGCACCAGACAGTTGCCTGTCCTGACTCAAGCTATGGTATTCTCCATTGTCTCATATGCATGTGAAATTTGGTCATTGAATAATTCTGCGGAAGAATTGATGCATTTGAATAACGGCGCTGGGGAAGAATATTGAAAGTACCATGGACTGCTAAAAGGGAAAAAAAAATTGTATTGGAAGAAGTATGGCCAGAATGCTCATTAGAGGCAAGGATGGCAAAACTTCATCTACACACTTTGGGCGTACTGTCAGGAGAGACCAGTCGCCGGAGAAGAGAAAGACTATCCTGTTTGGTAAAGTGAAAGGATGGTGAAAAGAGCTGGGCTGACACCGCTGCTGCGTCCATGGGCTCAGGCACGGGAGGATAGCGCAGCAGCAGGCAGCATTTCGCTCCGTTGTGTGCAGGTTGCTACAACCTGATGACATGTAACAACACAGCAACCTTTCAGAAGGAGACACCAGGCTTTTCCCCTGCGGCATCGCTGGGTGTTTTGCCCAATTCAAAATTATAGCTTCTCTTGACAGAGCCAAGAGGGACTTTTCATAATACAGAATTAGGTCTACAAAACAAACGACAACACTTTGTGAAGTTTACCACAATTCTAATTCTATAAGCATATATTTGCAAATTAAAAACCCTGGAATATCTATTTATCTTGCTCATGGTGGTTTTCTCTCAGTGGTGGTAGCACTGGTGAGTTTTTATTTTTTGTTCTGTTTTGTTGAGTTTATTTTTTAAATACATTTTACATGCATGAACCTTTTGTTCTTCCTACAATAAATGTTCCTTGTTTTTATAATAAGGGGGGCTATTTAAACATTCCAAAGCACACAAAGATTTTAAACAACTCAAGGCATCCCTGAAGTATTTTTCTGTACAGAAATAATTCCTTGACAAACTATAAACTATTATTATTAGTTAAAACATCTGAGGACCTATACTGAGCTGTGTTTCATTAGCTTGGTTTGAATGTGTCTACATGATTGAAAGGAATCCTGGTCGAACAGTGGGATTAAGCATGTGGTTGCTAATGAAAAGGTGCAGTAATTCTGAAGGAGAAAGGTATGGGAGTCTGTTTCCAAAAAGATTTACAGGCTTGGAAGCTCCTTTAGGAAATGTTACTCTCTGAGTCAGAATTGACTTGACACCAGTGAGTTTGGTTTTGATATATATTTGAAAGAAACTTTTAAAGATTGAATTTGTGTAGCTCTTGATAGCTTTTCATTGATCCCCCTCCCAATCTTCAATTACTCCAAATTAGACTTTTAAATCGATTTATTAAAATTTATTAGTGGTACTTCATATTTCCTTCTTATATTGTACAGAAAGACAAATGTGTGCATAAGCGAAAGTAGTGAAGAAAGCCGATGGTGCCCGGCTATCAAAAAATATAGTGTCTGGGGTCTTAAAGGCTTGAAGGTAATCAAGCAGCCATCTAGCGCAGAAGCAACAAAGCCCACATGGAAGAAGCACACTAGCCTGTGTGATCACAAGGTGTCGAAAGGATCAGGTATCAGGCATCAAAGAACTAAAAATCAAATCATTGTGAATTATGGGGAGTGCAGATTGGGGACCAACGACCCATCTATAAGCAACTGGACACCCCCTTACAGAAGGGTCTCAGGGAGGAGATGAGCCAGTCAGGGTGCAGTCTAGCAATGATGAAACATACAACTTTCCTCTAGTTCCTAAATGTTTCCTCTCCCCACCCCCACCATCATGATCCCAATTCTACCTTACAAATCTGGCTAGACCAGAGGATGTACACTGGTACAGATAAGAACTGGAAATACAGGGAATCCAGGACAGATGATTCCTTCAGGACCAGTGCTGAGAGTGGCGATACCGGGATGGTGGAAGGAAGGTGGAGTGTAAAGGGGGGACCGATTACAAGGATCTACATATAACTTCCTCCCTGGGGGATGGACAACAGAAAAGTGGGTGAAGGGAGATGTCGGACAGTGTAAGGTATGACCGAATAATAATAATTTATAAATGATCAAGGGTTCATGAGGGAGGGGGACTAGAGAGGGAGGGAGAAAAATGAGAAGCTGAAACCAAGGGCTCAAGTAGAAAGCAAATGTTTTGACAATGATGATGGCAACAAATGTACAATAGTGCTTGACACAATGGATGTATGTGTGGATTGTAATAAGAGTTGTATGAGCCCCCAATAAAATGATTTTTTTTAAAAGATGCCAAGTTGGGGGGCGTAGAAAACCAAAGATAACAAGAGAAAAGTTTTACCTAAATTCTAAATACAGTGTTTTTCATGTATTAGGCAGTTAGGGCTCTCACAGGCATGTTATTTTTGTAAAAATATGGTAATTACAAAAAGGGTACACAGGAATCCCTCCGGTTCTTGAATTAATGGTTTGAAGGATTTGCCTGTTGATACCTTTCCTCTTGCTTAGATGTTATTTATCTGTTTTTATGACATGTTGATACAGAGAAGATCTAAAATCCAAAGCCTTTAATCAAGACGCAGTTTGGGGCAACATTTTGTTCTGTAGTGCATGGTTCACCTTGGGTCGAGAGGCCGACTCCATGACAGTTAATGCCGACAACAAAGAGTAACTGGAATTAGATACCTTGGAAAGATAAGGCTGGCAATGGGGTGTTCATCTTTTGGTTGGTCAAAGATTATGTAGGAATTCTGGCAACAAGAATGTTTACTGGAGAAGATTGGCTTTCGAAAATGAATTCTTTTTTTCCTTTTCCTTTAAGTGAAGACACCCCTGTACTATTTATTAAGCTGAACATTATCTTTTTGTCTATGCCTGTGACCTCATTTAAAGATCGGAAATGGTTTAGTCCAATGCCTGTCATATAGTAAGCCTATGATGGTCGAGTTGTTGATGTTGTCTTCATGTTGCCTTTATGTTGCCTTAATGAGAGATGCTAGGGAACACTGTAAGTTCCAGGCTGGGCTCAGGCACTGACCATATAAAAAGACTTTTCCCAAAAGTTGTGTGATAGGTATATTTACAACCACTGGGGAGGGCGGTGGGCAGGGAGTCGCTGCTGAGTCTATGTATGTACAACAGGTTTCAGCTTATGTTTCATGAGATGGTCTAGCTCCCTGGCCTAACAGCCTGCTCAGTGCTTCTGTTCAACACCTGAGTTAGTTGGGTAGTGCCTGGGGTTTTAAAAGTTTACAAGTGGCCATCCCAGGTCCAACAACAGGTCTCTAGTTACCTGGAGCATAAGATCCCAAATGTATTTGGCCTACTGCCCACTTTTCTGGAAAAAAATTACTCAGCACCCCCTTGCAATTAAAAATGCTTGTACTATAGCCTATAACCCAGGATAAAGTACAGGTATCTGCTTTACAGTCCTCGCCCCATCGTCTCGGCAGTGCTCCATCCCCCCACCCCCCCAAGGGGGTGGTATTGCCCACTCAGGAAATACTGATCCTGGAGCAACAGAGGGAAAAGGAAAGTCAGAAATATAGGAGGGAACAATGCAATGTGTCAAATTCCTCAATGAACAACTGCCTTCTTTGGCATGAGACCAGAAGAACTACATGGTGCCCAGCTACCATTTCTGACTGTTTAAAGCAAGATTTTTATGTGAATTTCTGATCTAAAGGGAGAAAATGATAAACTATTACATTTTAACCTAACTACCTCTGTCCATAATTGAGTTTACAGTGTTTTCTGTCGGAGAGCAAGGATAGTTACATCCCGGACTATATTCAGACAATTCACTGGAGGCTTAATCCATGTGTGGAGCCTGCAAATGGATTTGGGGCTTCCACTGTCACCCACTGCTTTCTGCAAACTGAGTGGTCACAATTTAAGCTTTCAAGCCATTCCCTCCTTTGGATTTGATTTTACTGTTCACAATCCTTAGATTCTACAGGCTGGTATGTTTCTTCCATGTATCATTTGATCTCCCTTTTGACTCATTTAAGGTTATTTCTGTTTTTAATATTTTCTGCTTTCTTTTCTATTGAGCTATTCCTATATTTTGCCTAGTTATTGCTGTTAGTTTTTGCTGGTTTGTGATTTGTATGATTTTCTGTGTATGAAATCCAGGACAGGAAATCTGTAGAGCCAGTAACTAGATTAATAACCACCTAGGAGCATGGAGGAGAGGATGGGGGGGAAATGGGAAGCTAATAACAATGAGTATGAGAAGAAAATGTTCTAAAATTGATTGTGGTGATCATTACACAACTCTTCTTAATATGGCGGAATGATTAAATTGTATTCTATGTGAAGTATATGCCAATACAACTATTTTTGAAAGAGAAAATGCAGAACAGGATTTCAAATATTCCTATGGAATCCAGACCTTATGACTCCATGGAGCTAGGAGAAACCTCTAATGCTGTTACCCTAAGAAAAATCTTTGAACCTTAAATGAAAAATATCCCACAAAGTCTTGTTAAAACCAAACAGTAGGTTGGCTGAACTAGTAAAGAATGTCTGCCTTCAGCACTGTCCTCTTTTACAATCTTCTGCGTGGGATCAAGTTGACAATAGCAACCGGTCATAACTGATGGGAACTGTAGGGGACAGTGGTTTTATGCTAATGACGAAGGAAGAA